CCTAAGATTTTTTCAGGGTTTTCCTAAGATTTTTTCAGGGTTTTCCTGAGATTTCTCAGGGCTATCCTAAGATTTCTCAGGGGTTTCCTGGGATTTCTCAGGGGTTTCCTGAGATTTCTCAGGGGTTTCCAGGATTTCTCAGGGGTTTCCTGAGATTTCTCAGGGGTTTCCCGGGATTTCTCAGGGGTTCCCCAGGATTTCTCAGGGGTTTCCAGGATTTCTCAGGGGTTTCCCAGGATTTCTCAGGGGTTTTCCAGGATTTCTCAGGGGTTCCCCAGGATTTCTCAGGGGTTTCCAGGATTTCTCAGGGGTTCCCCAGGATTTCTCAGGGGTTCCCCAGGATTTCTCAGGGGTTCCCCAGGATTTCTCAGGGGTTTCCAGGATTTCTCAGGGGTTTCCAGGATTTCTCAGGGGTTTCCTGAGATTTTTCAGGGGTTTCCAGGATTTCTCAGGGGTTTCCAGGATTTCTCAGGGGTTTCACCCTCCTCAAGGCAGCTGCTCCTTGTCCAGCAGTCGGATGTTTCTCTCCCCCCTCTCCTGCCAACCCCAAGTGAACATTTGTCTTCCCAGCACAGAAATAACAATAAATAACCCAAATGACCCCGGCAACGGGAATTGAACCCCTCAGAGGATCATTAACAACCTGCAGAGCCACTTCTCAGCCCAGCTGGGGTTTGGTGCTGCCAGAACAGGGCAGGGGGTCACTGGGGATAAATGAGCCCATTTGTCTCTTCCTCGTGCTGTGACAGCCCCGGGGAGGTGACAGAGGACGTGTCACACTGGGGCTGATGGAGGCTCCATCAGCAGCCACAGCTCTCAGCAAACCTCTGAAAAATCTCAATAAACCTTTGAGAACCCCAATAAACCCTTGAGAATCCCAGTAAACCTCTGGAAAACCTGAATAAGGTTTTGAGAATCCCAGTAAACCTCTGGAAAACCTGAATAAGGTTTTGAGAATCCCAGTAAACCTCTGGAAAACCTGAATAAGGCTTTGAGAACCTCAGTAAACCTCTGAAAAATCTCAATAAACCTTTGAGAACCTCAGTAAACCTTTGAGAATCCCAGTAAACCTCTGAAAAATCTCACCAGCCCCTCAGGAACTTGTAGTAAACCTTTGAGAACTCTCAGTAAACACCTGAGAAATCCTATTAAACCTTTGAGAAATCTTAGTAAACCTTTGGAAAATCTCACTAACTCTTCAAGAACTTGTAGTAAACCTTTAAGAATCTCAGTAAATCTTTGGGTACTCTTAATAAACCTTCGAGAACCTCAGTAAACCCTTGGGCAGACATGGAGGCAATGACCTAAAATTCCTTCAATCCCTGCCCTCCTTCAGTCCCTGCCAGGCTGCAGGACTCGACATCTGTTACAGGATCCTGGAATGGTTTGGGTGGGAAGGGACCTCAAATCCCACCCAGTCCCACCCTGCCCCATGCAGGGACATCTCCCACCATCCCAGGGACACCTCCCACCATCCCAGGCTGCTCCAACCTGGCCTTGGACACTTCCAGGGATGGGGCAGCCACAGCTTCTCTGGGAATTCCATCCCAGCCCCTCCCCACCCTCCCAGCCAGGAATTCCTTCCCAATATCCCACCTAACCCTCCCTCTGGCAGTGGGAAGCCATTCCCTGTGTCCAGTCCCTCTCCAGCTCTCCTGGAGCCCCTTTAGGCCCTGCAAGGGGTTCCAAGGTGTCCCTGGAGCCTTCTCTTCTCCAGGGGAACATTCCCAGCTCTCCCAGCCTGGCTCCAGAGCAGAGGGGCTCCAGAATCCTGGAATCCCAGGCTGGTTTCGGTGGGGAGGCACCTCCAAGCCCACCTCATTCCACGGGCAGGGACATTCCCACCAGCCCAGGCTGCTCTTGCCTGATTTCTTCCCCATTTTCTAGCTGAAATGAAAGGTTGCCCTCTGGTGTTCACTTTAACGCAGTAAAACAACAAGGAATGCAACTTCCCAAATCCCACCTTTTGTAGTAAATTGGGAACTGGGAAGAGAAATGCAGGTTTTACTCATTTTGTTACACATCTTATATTCTTGGGCATGTCCCCCCCGCCAGACCTCCAGTCTGATGCTTAAATTCCACTCTTCCTTTCACATTTAAATGCTCCCAGTGCTTTAATTTTATTCCTGAGCTCCCAGGTTTCAAACCAACCCCTTCCCACGTACCTGAGGACAAGGACACCCAGGGAAACGCCACCTAAGGGGAATCCAAGGTCATCTTGGTGCTGGAGCTCCACCTTTTTGCTTCATTTTCCTGAATCTCTGAGACATAAAGCAGAATGATTCAGGTGTGAGGTGTTTTTATAGCTCTTACTCACCTGATTTACTCTTGTGAGCACCTCCTACAGTCACTGCTGCGGCCTGGATGTGGATGGAGGGTTGGATTGACACAGGATGGTTTTCCCACGTTCCAAGCGGTGCAAGGAGGGAAACTGTTGGGTGCTGGGGTGCTGGAAATGCAGACATTCTGATTTACAGGAGGTGGAAATGCAGACATTTGGATTTACAGGAGGTGGAAATGCAGACATTCTGATTTACAGGAGTTGTCTGCATGAAGATTGAACTGGGAGTGAGGAGCTTCCCAGAAAATCCAACTGGCTGCAGCCGTTTGGGTGGATCAGGAGCAGTGCCTGGGATGGTGTTCCCAGCACAGGAGCAGCACAAAGCCAGAGCAGCCCCTCTGGGAACGGGTACCCCACGGTGCTGCTGGTGCCACGGGGCAGGACTGGGGCTGGAGCACCCTGGACTTCATGGAATCATGGAATCCTTGAGGCTGGAAAAGCCCTCTGAGGTCCCCGAGTTGGCCCAGCACTGCCATGGTCACCACTGATCCACGTTCCCAGGAGCCACATCCACAGGGTTTCTGAACCCTTCCAGGGATGGATGGGGACTCCACCCTGCCCTGGGCAGCTGTGCCAGGGCTGGACAGCCCTTTCCATGGAGACATTTTCCCAATATCCGACCTGAACCTCCCCTGGTGCAACCTGAGGCCATTTCCTCTCCTCCTGTCCCTGTTTTCAGCAGGGAGAAGGAAAACCCCTCAACCTCCCTGTTTTGTCACAAGCTCCTTTGCCAACAGATTCTACACCAACAGTGACCGGCCTCGATTTTCCACAGAACTGTGACTTTCCCAAATGTTTATCCAGCTCTCCAGGCACCTCGGTGTCCTGAGGGGTTGTTAAGCTCCAGGTTGGGTGTCACAGATCATTCCCATCATTCCAGTGAAGGAAGTGTTTGGAAAGCAAAGGCATTTGAACCCTCTCAGAGGTGTCTCCCCCAGTCCAGGAGCAGCCACATCCTGGGATAGAGACTTCAAATGGAAACGGAAGGTGAGTGAGGTCATTGAGGGCAGGAGGTTCGTGTTACCTGGAATGAGGAGGCTGAAAGGACGGTGGAATTATGTGGGAAAAGGGAAATTCCTGAATTGTCCACCTGCCTCTTCCCTGCTCCCTCAGGGGACAGGGAGGGACAAAGCCCCACTCAAGGACACTCCCTTCTCTCTCCAGCGAATATTCCAGCAGCAGGGATGAGGGAAGAAGGCCAGAGCAGTGTGTCAGTGCTCTCCTGAGCCAGCACGAGCCAGAGCACTTCGAGCACAGGGTCCTGTCAGGTCACCCTGATAAGCAGCAGGGGAAGGCCACTGTCCCCAAACCCAGCAGGAAATGTCACCTCTGCTGTCCCCACCCCAGGGCAGTGACGGGGGCTCACTCTGAGCAGCCAGGAAAGCTTTGGGATCCAGGGGGGGAGGCAGCTTCCAGGGGGTCTCCAGCCTGGAGCCAAGCCAGGCAGTGCCAGGCACAGGACACGGTGACACAGGGGTGTCCCCAGCCCCGCTGGCACTCCTGGCACTCCGGGTGATCCCAGAGCTCTGTGCCAGGGATGAGCCCATGGGAGCTGCCAGTGCCACCTGCCCCAGAGAGCAGCTGGAAACACCTCCAGGGAGAGATTCCCAGGGGACAGCTGGGAATGGGGGCATTGCGAGGGCACAGGGGGAGTGGGGGTGGGACAGAGAGAGGGACAAGGGACCAGGATGGAGGGAAGGGCCAGGAGAGGGGTAAAGGAGGGGGGGGAGGGCAGAGAGTGAAGGGGCAGAGGTGGGTCCCCAGGGCCCAGCAGGGACTGGGAGCAATGGTGGGGACGTGAGGGTGGGGTGGGAGGTCACTGGGGCAGCCAGACAGCAATGGGGGGCACTGGGGACATGGTGGGGGACACTGGGGCAGCAATGGGGGCACCGGGGCTGATACGGGGGCACGAGGGATTTGTCAGGGGAGGGAGGGGGAAACATGAGGTTCCTGGGTCCTGAGGGTCTCTGGGGATGGGGGCTGTGGGGAGGGGGGCACAGAGCAGGAGCAGGGTGAGAGTGACACTGAGGGGGCCGGGGGACACCAGGGGGGCCAAGGGGGGGCTGAGGGGGCGACGGGGGGTGACAGGGAGGCCGGGGGGGTCTCTGAAGGGTTGACAGGGGGTCTCTCAGGGGTGACAGGAAGGCCGTGGGGTCTCTGAGGGGTTGACAAGGAGGCCAGGAAGGTTCTGAGAGGTGACAGCAGTTTGGGGGGTCCCTGAGGGGGACCCAGGGGATTCCTGAGGGGTGACAGGATGTCCCTGAGAGGTTCACAGGGTGTCCCTGAGGGGATGCCAGGGGGTCCCTGAGGGTTCACAGGGGGTCCCTGAGGGGGTGTCAGGGGGTCCCTGAGGGGGTGCCAGGGGGTCCCTGAGGGGTCACACGGGGGGCGGGGGGTCGCTGGGGGGGTCTCTGAGGGTGCCGGGTTTCGGTGCCCGCGGTGCGGGTGGTCCCGGTGCCCCCCGCGCCCTTTACCTCAGCCGCTCCCGCGCCGAGCCCGCCCCGGCCCCGCCTCCGGCCCCGCCGCCGCCGCTTTTCCGGCCGTCGCAAAACGGGGCGTAAAAACCAAGCGCCGCCCGGTGCGGGGACACGGAGGTAACGGGGGGACAGGGAGGGGCTGCGGCCGGGCCGGGACCCCCCGGCCCCCTCCGGGACCGCCCCGGCCCCGGGCCGAGCTCTGGGGGAGCGCCCCGGTGAAGGGGGGCCGGGGCTGTGCCCGCGCTGGGCCGGGGCTGCGGGCAGGGGCTGTTCCGGGACCCCCCGAGACCCTCCGAGACCGCCCGGCCCCGCGCGGGGCTCTGGGGGCGCGGGGGGAGCCCTGAGGGGGACCCGGCCTGTGCCGGGCCGGGGCCGGGGGGGGCGAAGCGCTGAGGGGACCCCGAACCCCCTTTCCCTCCCCTTCCCTCCCCTTCCTTCCCCTTCCTTCCCCTCCCGTCTCCCTGCCCTGCCCCGTGGGAGCCCCGGCCGGGGTTTGTTGTGGGGGACGAGGCTCCCCCGGGTTGTTTTCCCCTCAGAACGCCCCGAGTTCTGTGCGCGGGGGCCTCGTTTTTGGTGCCCGGCCCCCGCAGGGCCCCCGCGCTGGCCGGGTTTGGTCTCGGGGTGATTAAAGAGGGGCAGTTTTGCTCCTTGCCGAGCTTGTCCCCAGCCCAGGCCCTGCTTTCTCCTCTCCCCTCCCACCGAGGTGCGTTTTCACTGCTGGAATTTGCCTTGATGAGGGTGTGGAGAGGCAGTGTCAGCTCCTGTTCTTAGACAAGTGCTGACCTTTGATTTCCACAGCTTGTTTTCCCTACCTGTGTGTGTGGATTTAGAGCACCCTGCCCTCTTCCTACGCTTCAACCACGTTTTCTTCTTTCCCCCCCTCCCATTGTCGCCTATTGATAAACAGCAAACTCTTATTTTTAGTCTCCTTTCTCTACTCTTCTTCCTATGGAGAGTTACACATTTCATTCAAGGGAGATGGAAGGAACATTGTGAGGGTTCTTGTTTGTGCTGGAAAAGCTCTTCCTGACCCTGTACTTTCTTTTCTTTCTGGAAAAAAGATCTGGATAAGAGAAACATGAGAAATGGTTTTGACCCACTAAAACTCTCCTACATGTTTCTGGAAAGCTGGACAAGACATTGAGCTTTCACCTCAACTGGGTTAAATCTGGAGAGGAGAAAAGCCACAGAAAAACAGAAATAAGGAACATAAATCTGAAAAAAAAAGCAGCTCATCAGTGTTTTTAGGTGGCTGTTCAGCGTCACCAAGGAGACAGAGCTGCTCCAAGCCAATTTAACTTCAGACTTGGCGGTGTTTGGATACATTTGGGTAAACTTGGAGCCATCAGTTGATAACCTGAGTGGTGTGAGAGGTGTGAGGGACTGGCAGTGCCACAAGTCACTGCTCTGGGGTGAGTTTCTGGAAGTGCCAACTCACATTTGAAGTGCTCAGGGGGCCCTGGCGACTCACCAAGGTCTGCCCAGAGACACGAAGGTGCTGCTGCACTCTGGGCTCCAGCACTTCTCCTGTGAGTTATTGCATTATATGGTTTAGTCCAACCTTTCTTAATGGAAAGTTGGTGATAGTAGAAATTACAGATGTATTTATATGTATAAATACCAATTTTGGCTGGTGGCTGCAGGGTATTTGCCCCAGCGGGCAGTGAGGAAAGTAAAGGTGCAGCTTAGCATTTTACAGCTAATTTTATACACATTTCTCACATTTCCCTCAGCAACTCTCCAAAACACTTTGTTTTTTAAGGGAGGACCCCTATAAAATCATCCTGGTTTGCTGGTGGCTCCTCAGAGCAGCACCTGCAAACTTCTGATACTTTAAAATCTCTTTTGGGTGCTCAAGTGTCATGTGCAGAATACGCTGAGTTGGAAGGGACCCACGAGGGTCAGAGAGTGCAGCTCTTAGCCCTGCTCGGGTCCATCCCCAAAAGCCACACCGTGGGCCTGACAGGATCATCTGGAGCTCTGTGAGCCCCAGTGCTGTGCCCAGTGCCCCGGGGGTGACCCTGGGGGTGACCCTGAGCTCTGTGAGCCCCGGTGCTGTGCCCACTGCCCCGGGGGTGACCCTGGGCACGGCTTGGTGCCCGGCCGCCCTCTGAGGGGGAAGGACCTTTTTTCCAACGAGTCTCTCCCAACCCTTCCTTTCTCTTGCAGGATCTTATGGTTCTCCAGCACGGCTCCTGCCTGCCAAACCTCACCTCCTAGGCCAGCCGACCCATGAGCGGGCACCGCAGCAGCAGGAGGAGATGTGGGGAGGCCCAGGCCGAGGCCCCCGCGGGCTGCGGGCACGGCCCCGGGGGTGGGTGTGTGCTCAGCAAGCTGGTGCAGCTGCCCACGCCCCCCCTGAGCAAGCACCAGCTCAAACGGCTCGAGGAGCACAAGTACCAGAGCGCGGGCAGGTCCCTGCTGGAGCCCCTCATGCAGGGCTACTGGGAATGGCTGGTGGGCAGAGTGCCCGCCTGGATCGCCCCCAACCTCATCACCATCGTCGGACTGTGCATTAACATCCTCACCACCCTGCTGCTGGTGTGGTACTGCCCCACAGCCACAGAGCAGGTGAGCTGGGCACCTCGGGGCCCTTCGGGGTGCTGGGGGCACCTCCTGGCAGTGGCACTGGGCTTGGGGGGTTCCTGCTCTCCTGGCACTGGTTCTGGGTGGGTTCCTGCTC